TCTCTCTCTCTCTCTCTCTCTCTCTCTCTCTCTCTCTCTCTCTCTCTCTCTTCTTTGTTGTTGTCTTCTGTGCAGGTACGTGTCACCTTCTTTTGCAGCGCAGCTATGGCGAACCTTTTCTTCACGGTGGCGCACTTCAGCTATGGCGCCCTATGATGGCGCGCGTCTCTCCCCTGCTGCAAGGGCGATGGCGCGTGAGATAGCGGGTACCAGCTCTGATACCAGTGCAATCAGACTCACGTTCTTCTTCGCTTCGCATGAATACAAACAGATGGTGATTCACACTGGCGCGTAGCGCCCAACTCAAAGCTCAGAGATATGGAAACCAAGAACACAGCTCGGATGCAAACTCGCTTCAACAGGCTATGGTGCACCAACACCTATACATCCCAACTCTCGTCACTGTGTCCAACACCACTGTTCGCTCACACTTCAACTCTGGATCACCCTGGATATCCCACACGCAACCCACTATACACTCGCACACTCGCACACGCCACTCTCTCTCCTATCAGCTATGGCGGCTATGGCCGCTGCCTACCCTATGGCTAAGCTTCCTTCTCGCCCACTTCGTCTTCGGGCCTACTGCAGACCACCTCGCACAAGTCGCTGTAGCAGCGCTTCCGCATGGCTTACGCAGGAATGAATGAATGGTTGGGCGCTGCCTCTTGATTTATACTTCTGTAACTCGTTGTTCTGCCTCTTTCCATCGGGCCATGGTGCACACAGTCCCTCATGGTACTTGCTGGACTGGACTGGGACTGATTGAACCAGTACCGCTGACTGCATGAGTTTGCACTCCCAACTCGATGCAGTTGCACTGCCGACGTAACGTAGTTGGGCTCACCACTTGCCCACTTGCCTCTGACTAAAACGCGAGACCGCTTCGAAAGGCCACTTCCGGAACTTCCGGAAGTTTGTGGACTTGGCATTTCGGGTACTGTAGCAGCTACGACGGTGCAAATACCGTCTAAGTACGGCGGCAAAAAAATAAAAGACATTGAATCCTGGATCAGCTCCATGAGGGCATACTTCGAGGTGCTGGGGACTCAGCCAGAGACCCAGCCAGTGATCATGGGAATGAATGTTGAGTCTGTGACCCCTACTCGACAAACCTACAGATCGAATCCCTACATCTACACAGTCCTATGACAGACAAACAACAACTAACGAAACACAGGTCACGGGTTCAACACTCAGGGGTCAACTGGATATTGTACATGGGTAAGGTAAGGTCTGGTGATCAAACCTGGGGATCTGCATCTGCCTCTGCAAAGGTGAAAACCGTTTCAGTCATGATGCAATTGGACATTTTGGCTACAAAAATACTAGTGCAAATATGGTACAGCGATTTTGGTGGCCTTGTATGCTAGACGAAGCGAAGTAGTACGTACTGACTTGTCAAGCTTGTCAGCGAGACAAGCCGCGAATTTAAGCTCCACTTTGGTTACTCAAGCCCTTGCCCATTCCGGCTGGTCCGGGACATAGTGTCTCCATGGATTTCATGGATACCCTCGTGACCAGCAAGAGTGGCAAGACGCATATCTGCATATCTTCGTCATGGTTGATAGGTTTGCTAAGTACACTAGACTGATTGCCATGCCGGAGACCGCAAGGACTGGGCATGTCATCAAGTTATTTATGGATAACTAGGTGCGTGACTTTGGACTACCAAATACTATCGTTAGTAACAGAGATGTTTGTTTCACAAGTGAAATGTGCAAGAAGGTTGCATAACAGATGGGCAGCGAACTCCAGATGACTTCAGGGAATTATTCTGAAGCCAACGGACAAGCTGAACAGATGAACCAAGTGGTGCAGCATCTGCTGAGGCATTACATTAAGCCCATCCAAGATGACTAAAATGAGAAGTTACCTCTCATTGCCAGCCTGTACAACAATGTTGTGCACAGCACCACCGGCGTCAGTCCGAATCAGCTACATCTGGGATGGAAGGCTAGATCTGCGCTAGACTCCCTCCTACCTGAAAACCAACCTGCTGCAACTCCTAGAACCATAGAATTTGGTGTCCAGTATGAGAAGTTGCTACAACAAGCTGTCGAACACATCAAGAAATCTCAAGAAACAACGATTGTTTCTGAGAACAAACATCAACAACAGTCCGCATTTCAGGTAGGGGAACGTGTTTGGGTTAAGTCTAGTGAGTTAGGACAGGAATTTGGCATTTCTAGGAAACTAATGCCTCAATACTTCGGTCCTTGGGAAGTCCTTGATATTGTGGGTAGTGAAGAGGAAGGATGGTGCCTCGTATGTGATGCGAATCCCTGGTCACTTGCACACTTACCCTGTGTTTCACACCTCAAAGCTTGCACCTTTCGCTGAGACACGGCAGTTCCCATCAAGGAGATCAATGCTTCCCCCAACCATGGACCTTTCTCTGAGACACAACAGTTCCTATAGTGGACGTCGATGATATTTTGGATCACAGAGGCATGCCTGTTCCTAAGCCTGTGGGCAAAGGAAGACCTCCGACACCCAAGAGGGAATACCGGGTCAGATTCAAGCATCACACATATCCAAAAGAAGACCGATGGTTCATTTGAGAGGAACTGATCAAGACAACACCTCAGATTGTGGCAGATTATGAAAGAAGGTTGAAGGGGAAGGCACCTGCAACGGTCCTGCATAGAAGCATCTCAATGGACTTTCGAAGCTAAGGGGGATGGAATGTGAGGAATGTGTCCTCAGGGGGCCCTAGACAACATGCATATATCGTGGACTGTGGCCCCCCCAGCAAGCGTCGTGCCCGCCCTAAGTGAAGGCGGGCCTGAATATCCATGAGAGGCCCTTATCTCAGCATTTTCCAATGTGGGTCTCCGACAGTTGCTGCACGTTAGTTGGTTGAAGTACAACCTGGGCCTCACCCTGGGCTCTTCCAGAAGAAGCAGCTGCGTCAGGCAGTTGAGCCCAGGACCCAGGTGGTTGCGCCCCAGGCACACACAGTGTGAGGCCGACACATCGCGAAGTGGCCACGGGCCAATGAGAATGCAGCATTGTCGTCACATCCACCCCGCGGGCCAATGCAAACGCAGCAAACATCCAGAGCCTGGAAAATCCTGGGTGTGCCCAACTGAAAAGGGGCCAGGCCCTCAACTGTAGACATGGACCTGGGCGCAGACACTGGGGCCCCACCAGAAGCTACTGGAAACTTCCACGGCCAGGCCTAGACAGTCCAACAGCAGCCACCTCTCCCATATAGGGAGGACGCCAGCCAGTCCAGGGCATTCTGGCCTATGCAGGCAATGCGGACACGCTGCTGCGATAGCGTGCAAGTGTCTGCATGCAGTATTGCTGGCTGGGGCGCGCGCGGGCGCTGAGTGATGAGGGGTGCTATAGGCCAGCGGGGCGCTAGCAGTCATAGCCGGGCTGCAGGGCGCGAGGGGGTGATGAGAGGCGGTGGTCTTTAGGAAGGAGGTGCAGGTGTGGGTGGACAAGGGTGATGTGGGGAGTCGAGAGTACGTACCTGGTGTATGTGGGAGGTCGGCGTTGGTGTTGACGTCATGTAGATTGGTCTTCAAAGTCGAAGTGAGCCTGTTGCATGAATGTTGGCTAGGTAGGGCGAGTAGAGTAGGCTGGGCGCTGGGCGTTAGACAGTAGCAGCGACATTGAATACTGCGTTGGTATGGCCTAAGGGCTTGGACATTGGCTCACGAGGTCATTGTATCGCTCTTATTTGTGCAACGGGCTGTACACTAACTGTGTTTGTTGTTTCCTTGTTTTGGGCGTTGCGGGACTTTATCCCGTGACTTGTAGTGTGTTTGTGGTGTTTGACTGTTTTTGAGGTTTGTTGGGCTTGAACCTTGAACCTGTCGCTAGTAGTCTCTACTTTGTAGTCTTAGGCCTTTCAGCCTCGTTGTTTTGTCCTTTTCTGCCCGTCTAGAAACTGGTAGGCTCGTAGGTCTTCCTT